GGAATAACAACTTCTTCACCTATGTGGCTTTCTGATAATATTTTTCCTTGTATTGAGTGATTAGCCAACCGGGTTACTATCAACCGTGTACCATTACACAAACCCATTGAATGGTCAATATTTTTCAACAACATAATAGGCGTGCCTATCTTCAGAGTTAAATTTCTTTCCATTACAAATATTTCCATAAATATTGTTAGACAAATTACTAATCGCTATTGTTAGACAAATTCCATAAAAATTTTCATCACTAATCGTTTCCCTTATTTAAAACCCTTTATTTAGTGCACACATATTCTAAATGGTAACATATATATAATTCTTTCTCCGAAATTTTAAGCAAATACAACTAAAGTTTATTTAGTGCACACATATTCTAAATGGTAACATATATATAATTCTTTCTTCGAAATTTTAAGCAAATACAACTAAAGTTTATTCTGGTAATTACATCTTTAAATACCTTTTCTGTTATACGTTCTCATTTTCTTTAGTTACCTTTTATTATTACCATTCGTATAAATGGTTTTATTTCATACGTTTTTAAATACAAAAATATATACAAAAATATAGGAGCTAAATTAAATAAAATTTCCATTCGTACCTTTTTTATACACGTTTATATTAAATAAAGTTTATTATGGTAATTACATGGTTATATTAAATTAACCTTCGTTACAATTTTAATTACACGGTTATATTAAATTACCATTTTTAGTTGAGCATTTGTTACCTTTTTTATACACGGTTTTTATACCTTTTTCATACTTTTTTATACACGGTTATTTTAATGATCCATTAATTACCATTTAGTAATTACCATATGTAGTTAAGAATTACCATATTTTATACACCATGAAATGAGCGGGAAAAGGTCAATGCAAATTCATGGCTTTTTAAATAATAGATAGATGTGTCATAATGTCACTTGTCAGTTGTTACCCTTCAACGAAAGCAATTTTATTTTATTTACTTTGTTAAAAAATATTTGTAGCAATAAAATAAATAATGTAATAAGATAAAATTTTTGAAACAAATTGTTTAATTAATAAATATGCATATGTGATTAAATTTATATAATCATTTTTTGAAAAGTAATAAACTAAAGTAAGTTGTGGATAGTATAAAAATAATCCTATTTATAATTAATCCTAAAAATAATCCTAAAAATAATTAAGTTATATATATATAATATGGAGTATATTTTACAATGATGAAATATATATTTATAGAATTACTAAAAAATGAAAAAGTTTAATGCAAATATATTCAAAGATCTTTTAAAAAAATCAAAATGGACCAATGAATTGAAATGCATATATCCACATCATTAGTGAGTGCATATGTGGATGCACATGTGGCATGCCACATGTCAACACTACAACAATTTAACTCTCTTTTACATATATACTAGTGTTTTTACCCGTGCCACGCACGGGGTCAAACAAATACATTTTTTTATATAGTTATTTTTTCTTAGGTAATGATTAAAAAATCGAGCAAAATATAATATCGAACATTAGAATTTTAATGAATAATATATCATAAACGTTTGCTAACTGGAATTCAACTATATATAAATTGAAAAAACATGTAAGTGTATAATTTAAATCTAAATCTTTTGGAACACTTTCGTACGTGGTAAATCACATTTTTGGTGAAGTTGCAAGAGTTACTGTTGTGATCTCAAACTAAAACTTTCAATGATGCATTTGCTTTCACTCATGAAACTACAATATAAAGTTGACCGTGAGTGAATATTCATTTGGTAAAAAATAATTCAATAAATGACAATGTTTAGCCATGACTCTTATTGATATAAATGGCAAAACATAAAATATTAGGAATTTTCTTCTTTGAAGCTTAAATGGTCATCTACGATCACACGATACCAAATTCATTCTTGGTATGTAAGCTTAATTGACATGATTAGAACATTTTATTTTTTAAAAAGTATTCATATCCCTAAAAGTTTGTTCGAAAATTTTATACTCCGTAATTTATTAAATCCGAGTCGGTTATTAAAAAATGTTCATGTATACTTGTGATAAAATAAAAGTTTAGTAAAATGTACAAATTCTATTATTTCTAAATTTGGATTCATGATTTCAATATAATTAATTATCATTTTTTTAAAAAACATTTTAAAAAAGATGAAATAATTGAAGAAGGAAGGAGATGAAAAACTTCAAAAGAAAATAGACGCTTAAATATTGCCACATGTAATTCTATAAATATTAACACATGTAACTCTTTCAAGTTTGACACGTGTCATTTTCTTGGAGACCAAACTCTCAAATTTATATATAAAGGATTGAGTAATTGTTTAAATAAATGCTTGAAATTTTAATTTATTTTAATTTGTTTTTCTTTTAATGCTATTGACTGATTGTTTAAATAAACTTATAATTCTAATTAACATGATTAAAACATTTTATTTTTTAAAAAATATTCATGTGCCTAAAAGTTTGTTTGAAAATTTTATAATTTATTAAATCTGAGTCGGGTATTAAAAAATGTTCATGTATACTTCTGATAGAATAAAATTTTAAAAAAATTTACAAATTCTATTAATTATAAATTTGGATTCATGAATTCAAAAATAATTAATTATCTTTTTTTAAAAAGTAAAAATGATGAAATAATTGAAGAAGGAAGGAGATGAAATACTAAAAAAGAAAATAAACGCTTAAAGATTGCCACATGTCATTCTCTAAATATTAACACATGTTACTCTCTCAAGTTTGACACATGTCATTTTCTTGGAGACCAAACTCTCAAATTTATATATAAAGGATATATATAGGATTTCAGACAATAAGATTGAGCAAGTAATTCTCAAGAACAAGAATATACTCCTTCAGTTTACATCTTCCTTTTCGTGTATCCTACCATAAATGAGCAATGGAAGAGCTACTTCAATAATTTATTTAATCAGAAGCATGTGAATCTCTCATGCTCCAATGGGAAGAGGACCAAAACTTTAATTACTATGGGAGAACTTGAGAAATTGGTGTTAAGAAAGCCCTAAAACAGACGAAGAATAGCAGAGCCGTAGACCCACACAACATCTCAATTGAAGTTTTAAAAAGTGTTTGGTCGCTAACTAAATCTTTTAACAAGATTCAAAGTTCTAAGAAGATGTCTATCGAATGGAGGAAGATCATTTTCGTTCTTATTTACAAGAATAAGGGGGAGTAGTGGAAACTACAGAGGGATCAAGCTCATGAGTCATACGATGAAGTTGCGAGAAAGAAAGAGTGGATGAACAAATGTTGAGGCAGGAGACTTCGTATTGGAGAACTAGTTTGATTTTATGCAAGGAAGATCAACTGTAGAGACTATATACTTGTTAATGAGAATGGTGCAGAGGTACCACCGCAGTGAGAAGAAAGATTTACACATGACTTTATTCATTTGGAAAAAGGCATATCACAGTGTGCCAAGAAAGTATTGTGGAAGGTGTTGGAGAAAAAGGGAGAAAAAATTACGTATATTCGTGCGATTAAGGAAATTTACGATGATGCTACAACGAGCATGAGAAGTCAAAGTGAGGTAACTAGAGAATTTTTACACTAGTATTGAAAGTTCTTGCCGAGCATATCCAAGAACCCATAACATGGTGCATGCTCTTTGCCGATGACATCATCCCTATGGACGAATCACGAGAGGATTTGCATGGGAAGTTGGATTCATGGAGACAGGCATTAGAGTTGCATGACTTGCATCTAAGTTGCACTAAACATAGTGCATGGAGTGCAAGTTTAGTAACTGAAAACTGAAGGAAAAATAGTAACAGAAGGAGAAAGTCGGAGAGATATTATACCACAAGTAAAGAAATTTAAATATCTTGGATGTATCATTCAAAACAATGAAAAAATAAAGAATGATGTTAACCACAGAATTCAATCCGATTGATCAAAATTATAGAGTGCTTTCGACTTTATATGTGACAAAAAAACTTTTAACAATAAAGGAAAAATTTTATCATACTGCAATTAGACGAACTATATTGTATGGAACAGAGTGTTAGCCATCAAAGGGTGAACATGAACACAAGGTTAATGTAGTCAAATAAAGATGCTGTGATGGATGAACGGTCATACACATATGGATAGAATAAGGAATGAAAATACGAGAGCTAAAGTTAAAGTGACACCTATTGTAGAAAAGATGGTGAAAACTCCTCTGAGTTGTTTGGACATATTGAGAGAAGACCAATAGAACATCTGATGAAAAGGGTTGATCAATTAGTGAATAGACATATGGCTAGATGAAGAGGCAGACCTAAGAAAACTTGAAACGAAGAAGTGGTCAGGGGGGCTTCATGTGAACGATCTCACTCCAAATGTGGTGCATGATAAGGCATAATGATGTTGTTTGATCCATATAGCCGAGCCCACCTAGTGGGATAATGCTTTGTTGTTGTTGTCTATCCTACAATAAACTTTACATTTTTCACATTTTGTAAAGAAAGAATATTTGGTTCTTAAAATTTCTCTTCAATCAAGTATCAAGCACACTTTTTTATCAACATCGGAGTATTTTTTTTAAACCTCCATGAAGCCAAAACATAAACTTTTTGGCTTGAGGAACGAGAGCATTTTCTACTTGACTTTGCAAACTTGCATGCAGAAATTACCAAAAACCTTACAAAATGCCTTGACAATTGACATGGTGTGTTGCTTTTAGCGAAAAATGCTCTTTGTTAAATAAATCTAAAGAAAACATGGCTTACCGGCATTTTAGCATGTTTTAAACCTCTAGTAAAGCCATGGATTATTCAAACATGGCCAGATTGGTTTTAGGACGTTTTAATACTCACTTCAACACAAAGATTATTCAATAATTGCATTTCTAATAATATGCATTGCGTTTTTGTTTATCCACAAAAAGATAAACAGAAGTGCCCCTAGAGGTAATTGACAAACTTACATAGCTATCTTTGTTTGGTAGGTTTTATCAATTCTTTGTGCAGTAGCTCCACCCATTACAAAAACCTGGAAAGTTACAATTTCTTGTTTGGGGAAGTGTCATGAGCATGGTAACATTTGAAGACAGCGCTTTCCATATCAAAACGCAACAATGTTGTGTCACCAAGTCTACAACCTGGGAAAGACTAAATGGTGTGTGAGAATGCAGATTGCATGTATTCCAGAAATTTAAAAAAAAAACGTCGGTAAACTTGAAGAACAGTTCTTACGTGAACATTTGGGGTTGACCACGAGAAAGCTGAGGCCTCTTAATAGGAGAAAGGATGAGGTTCCTGAGTGTCATTGATGGGTTTCCAGTGCCGGCTCCGGGTCCAACACCAAAAGCAGAACGCAGACTTGCCATTCTCTTGTTTCCGCCGCCATCCATTTGAAACCCGGATTGTTTTGCAGGTGAAACGTTGGAGACGTCAAAGTGTCCAGAGTCAGACTTGTTTTGTCTTGTGGGAGGCCACATATCTTCTCTTGGCCCTGGAGTTTTAGGAGTGGCAACCAACAACGAACCTGCAATATGTCATCAACTAATATTTTTTGCATAAATGCTACAACTCCTACTCATATTTGGAAAGAAAAAAAGAATATTCACAAGCCACAACTAGTTTAAATTATTCAAACGAATCATAATTTTTATGCAGTTTACATCAAAAAAATTCATGCATAAATGCTTCAACTGCTACTCAAACAGGATTTGAAAGCACAAAAACCAAATATCCAGACTTGACTGGTTCATTAAATGATTCAGGTTAGTAATAATTAAGTAATTACACATATCACATTAAGTCATTAACTAATACTTCGTATTTCTTGCCTAAATGTTACATCTGCTACACAAAATTTGAAGTAGTAAAAACAAAAAATATAGACTCAACCAGCTATTAAAATGATCCAGGCTAGTAATTACGAAGTATTAACTTATTATACATATTACATCACCCAAAAATTAGTAGATAAACGTAACATTGCTACAAAAAAAAGCATTTGAAGACAACAAACTAGATGCATTCAGTTATTTAAATGATTCAGTTTAATTGCAATCATAGCATGTTCCAAAAAGTAAAAATGCTTGTCGAGGCATATCTCCACTGCCAACCCCAAGACATGTAGAGAGGAGGTAAACCATAAGTGGCCTCTTAGGTGGAGGCCTTACCACTAGGTGTCACCACCAGTGGGGAGACCTGGGCCGTGTTCCAAATCTACCACCTGAGTACCTACTTGGATAATCTCATGGAGACTTCAGACTTGGTGTCATTGGGGTTTGAGCCTCGACAGAATGGAGAAGTGGGTGTGGGTAGCCAGTGAATCAAACATCATTGGCATCGTAGCAATAATTACACATATTACATTCATGTTGCCAAACTAGAATACGACAACAACAAGCCCAATTAATCTCACAGGGTGGGGTCTTGGGAGGGTGCATGTACGCAGTCCAGTCCTTACCCCTACATGGGAAGCAGAGAGGCTGTTTCCAGTGTTGCCAAACTAGAATCGTCTTCATTAATGATGTTTTGTATATATAAAAAGATCAGAGTTACCTTTTCTAAGATGGTCTCTGTTATCCATCATACTAGTAGTGTTTGAGAACAAATCGGGCTCAGTTCTAGGGAAGAAATTCTTGGCAGGCTGAATAGCTGAACGTTTTACTGATTCAAACTCATTCCTCAACTGATCATACATTTCATCAAGTTTTCGTTTTTGCCTGGGAGGTGAGAAAAAAATGTGATATCTGACATTTCATTGCATAAACATGTCTTATTTGAAATATTGAGAACAGTGAGTTTCTGGTCATCCAGGGGGAATTGATAAACTGACCTGGATTTTTCAGCAAACTTGTCTTGAAGTTCCTGCTTGTCCTTGGACAAGTTCTCGATCTCTTGCTCCATCATTTGGCACCTCTTAGCCATCTTCTGGTATGCAGTATGCACCTGCTCCAGCTTTTCAGTGAATTTTTCTTGCATAACCTCACATTTCTGTCGGCACTGAGCAACTACCCGGTTCATTTTATATTGCATCTCCAATTCCTTTTGCCCAATGTAGAACATCACACTTCTGTATGCACTCTTCATCACTAATATTGATAATAACTATGGTAAAAGAGAACAGCAAAGATCAAATTGATCTAATTAATAAGTACTTCAAAACGAAATGTACCACCATACCCATTAAAAGGAATCAGCATTAGCTTAAAATACTTATCGTTCCCAAAAATATTTGTAGTTGTATAGTTCACTTGCTGACAAACTAAGAAAGTTTTTATTCACTAATATTTAGAGATTGTAAGGATACAGATTTGTGGTGATATCCCAACCATGGCCATCTGTAAGAACATGGAAGAGAATTAGCAGGATGTGATTGCTAATAAACAAAACAAAAACTAGAATGACAGACACATGTGCTTCGAAGAGTCAAGAATTTCCTCTGGATGTGAACAAAAGAAACTAACTTTATAAAGGAGCTCTTTAAAAAATGTTTGCTTACATTTATCCATTCATCATTTGGATTGATATCCACAGGTTTCATGAGGCTGTGAATCAAAAGTATTCGCTTAGTGACAATGAAGAAAATTGGTAAAGAAAGTTGATAAAAACAATGATCATGTAGCAAATAACTGGAAAAAAATTATAAATTTGCACTGTTAATTGGCTGCCACAAAGAGCAACTATATCTCTTGTAGCAGCAAAAATATACCAGAAGAAGAGAGAACACATTATAATCAAAACTTGATATGCTTGAGAGCCAAGATTGAAAAATACTGAACAAAGAGATATAAAAAGCATGTGCTTGTACCAGAAAGATCCAGTGACTTGTACTCAATAATACTTAAAGCTCTTCAACAGAAAAGATTGACGTTATAATTATTAGCTGCCACTTACCTTTTGGAGAGAATTTGATCACATATAGGACAGGCAGCGTCATTAGTAAGAATCTTACGTGCATCTTCTGTACCTATTGATATTATTAAGGAAACTCCACATGCTACAAAACTTGCATTGATGGAAGGTGTTCACCATGTACATGTGCTCAAGTGTCTCTTACATAAATGAAGATTTGGATACAGAGGAGGTGGCCACAGGTGGTGGAGATACCCTGACCCTCCAGCTCTCTCCAACATGCATTGCATCTCATATCAGCCTTGAGTAACTACAAATCGATTTTTCATAGAACAATTTAGTGACATCTTATTGGGTATTCTCAGTAATATTCAGAAAGTAAGCAAGTTCTAAAGTATGCACAAGTACACTGGTTGTGAAATCCTCAAACAATTTCAGGTAATCCACATTATTATTCATCCCATTTGCAATTATGACAGCAGCAAACAAGGGCGCCTGACATTCTGATTTTATTTTCATTGAATAAACTCACAAATAAAGAGCGTATGGAGAAATTTTGTTTTCATAAGACGACCTGACACTGTTTCAGTGAAATGAATCTTTAAGTTATTAATGTTTGCTGAATTGAACAGTATTGATTTAATCACTAACATGGAACACACTCAACACAGGTGAAATTGTCATTTGAATTCCTATATACCGATAACCTTGGAACAAAATTCAGTAATTTGAACCATTTTTAACAATTAATAGTTAAAACTATATAACTTGTTCCATCATAAATAAATTTCAGTTCTTCAACAACTAATATGAATATAATCACGGATTATAGATACCCACTACAGGCTGCAGATTCGAAGTTGAGGAAACATCCTAAAGTCTTAGTCAGAAATCAATAAAGCTTTGGTTGTGACTTTATACTTCTGGAGGCATGTTAATTAGAAAACCTAAACAAGTTTGTTGTAAGAAAATCCAAGAACGCATCAAATAGAGTTCAAACACTATCTTGCATCAAATTGTTGAACCAAAATATTAAATTTTCCATTGAAAAAATACTACTACCATAAAAATACCATCTATGAAGTCCTAGAATTATGAGCACCAAAAAAAAATCAGATGGTGAAAAAACACAAAGCGTTCAATGTAAATTAAATACAAAAGGATATCATATCTAACAAAAATTAACTTCCATAATACAGAGTATGCAGATTACAACAGAAAACGAGAACTACCTGAAATCCAAATGAAATGTTTAGAATCCTTCAAACACTGCAGAATCTAGCCGGTGGAAAATATGTCAAAACCTAAGAATCAAACAGCGTAAAACAGCGCTCAGAAAAAGCTAGAAAACCTAATGAAGGAACATTTTAAAAACAGAAAATTTTCAGAAAACAATCGGCACTTGGGATTGAAAAGTAGCTGAACATCCAGGGAATAAAACGGACGAACAGCATTCAATTTGAACTCCTACAGACGAACTGGAGTAATATCAGAAGCACTTTCTCAAAAGGATTGAGAGGGAGAATAGTTGCAAAAATTTAATCAGATAAGTGAAAACCTGATGTATCGATCAGTCAATCCTCTCGGATTATCTCTATCGTCTTGTTATCTCGTCTCTACTTCGTATATTTTTGAGCTGCATCGTGATGGCGCCAAATATTATACAGTGATCTTATATCCATTTCACTCGAACAAACTTCCATAAGAGGGTACTTGTCTTTCCATTTAAAAACTCAAGAATAACTTCCAAACGTCCCAGTTATAGATCGTTTTACATATTTAGTCATTACACATTAAATATTACTAATTTAGTCTTCAATTATTATATTCATTTCCACGAATAGTCCTTTGTTAACATTTTCGTTAAGAACGTAGATAAAATTATATATTCATACTTCTCTCTCTCCTCAATTAAGTTTCATCTCTCTCATCAATTGTATGATCATTCCTCTCTCAATTGTTAGTCTTTCTGATGGAACCTAAAATCAAAACCAATAAACTTTATGGATGAGTTTTATCGGTTAGTCTCAAGAAATTGCAAAGAAAATAAACATTAAAACTCCTCCATGAAGGTTACTGGTTTCGAATTTGGGTTCCACCAGTTAGACAAACAATTGAGAGAAAAGTGATGATTTCGGTTTTGGGTTCAAAGCTTCAAACTCAGCGACGGGTTTGGGAAAGGAGTGCGAGGGGAGGGAGGAAGCTTAATTGAAGAGAGAAAGGAATGTGAATTTACAATTTTATCCACGTTCTTAATAGAAATGTTAACAAAGAACCATTTGTGGAAATGAATATAATAATTAGAGACTAAATTAGTAATATTTGATATGTAGGGACTAAATATGTAAAAAGATCTATAACCAGGGACCTTTTATGAAATTTACTCAAAACTAAACTAAGCTTTTGTTTCATTAAAATGTTATTTGTGGTGTTTTGTCAATTTGCTTTCTACTTTATTTAAAACTTATATTTTTTCAATAATCTACCACACTCCCAAACACCCTCTAAATAGTCTTAGGCCTCTGCAACTTAATTTTCTTAATTATCACTTATTCTTATAAGAAATTAGATTAGATCAAATCAGACCAGATCAAATCAAATTAGATTAGATCAAAAATATTTTTAAATATAATTACACTCAGATCAGATTAGAACTTATTTAAATCTAATCGGAATCAATCAGGTGAAAAGAACATGGCCTTAGAGAGGGTGTTTGGGAGTGCGCTGCTTTTAAGAATTTAGCTTCTGCTTTGAGTTAATGTGGTTTCACTCTAATTGGCATGAGAGCTTCTACTTTTCTGCAACACTATTTTGTACATAGAAACCGTTTCGGAGAAGCAGTTATGAGATGCTTTTGTTTTCAACTTTTGTGGAAATCATTTTATGCACAAACTAATCAATCTTAAACACCCTCTTAGTTGGGTTTTTACCTCTCAAGGCATTTTTGAGCTCTATGTGCTTAATAATTATTGCTGATAAGTATTTTTTAATTTTTTAATTACTTATAAATTAAATATTCTTTTCTAAAAATAAACTAATTAAGTTATAGAAAAGTCATTTGGAAGTATTCATAATTGGTGGTAGATAGTTTTGTAAATAATCCATTCAAAATGATTAAACAAAAAAATGACTTAAAAATAAGAAGGTAATACTTACTTATTTTATCTCGCATATAAGTTTTTTATAAGTCAGCATATAAGCATAAGGAAACATGTCATCATCTAACTTTTAAATAAAAATTCGCATATAAGCAATTTTGACCAGCTTATAAACACAGAAAAATACCTCCTTAGTGTGTGTTTTGTAAGGAGAAAAAAAATTCTAGGAAGAATATTTTGGGTAAATGATTTTCAAAGAAAATTATTTTTCCCAACATTTTTTAATGTTTGGTAGGAAAAGAATTATTTTTCCAAAAAACACATTTTTAAATGTTAAGATTTTCAAATTGATATTTAAAAATATGTTTTAAAGATAATCTTAAACTATTTAGCAATAAGGGAGGCGGGCGGCGTAGGGTGGGATTGTTGGCGTGGGGTAGAGGAGGAAGGAGTAGGGGTGGATGACACGTATTGACGAGGGATGGAGGACAATGGGATGGGGGAAAGGGATTGGGTGGGTGGGGTAAGGGGTGGACAAGCAAGGAGGGTGTGGACGATGGATAGAAGGATAGGGGTAGTGCGGTGGGGGTTGACGGGGTGGCAGGGTACGAGGGGGCGGGGTGGGAGGACTGGGGCATGGGGTGGCAGGGAGTGGGGATGGAGGGTGGCTGCAAGGGCGAGGGAATGAATAAGAATTTTCCTTTAAAAATAAATGGAAAATGTTCTCTTCTAAAATATTTCTTTCGCAACCACACACTGTTAATTTTTTGAAGTCAGGGTCTATTTTAGATAGATTGGATTTAATCACAATTAATCTAATTTGAATGTAGTGGACAAAATTTTTAAACCCATTGTCTCGTTTCGAAATAGCTCGATGCCACTCTTCTAGTGTCTCATTTCGTATGGGTCGGCAAAACTTTGTCTCAAATCTGTCCCAAACCGATCTAAAATTAAATGAAGCCGAATTAAAGTTTGTTTCATTCACCCTTATTGTCCAATTTATATAAATATGTACTCTATATATACTTTGTAACTCTCTGAAATGCACTCTAGAAATCAATAACGATTTCTACTAAAACGTAATTCAAGTTTTCGCCTAAATTAAATAAAAATTAAAACAACTACTAAAAATAAGTTATTTTTGAAGCAATCCTTTTATGGGTAAATTTATACTCAAATTGTAGGTCTCAATGATATGAGTTCAACGGCGTATTCTGCGCACAAATCTGAGTTACAAAGCTTAGTGACTTGACCGCCCCAATAACAAAAAGATAATAAAGTAAACGAATAAAATACAAGTTTGTCACAGAACTAAAATATGGCAACGACATATAGTTTTCCAAGTTTGGCATTATGTACAAAAAGTTATGAGTGAAAGAGACGTTACAATTTATTAAATGAATGAATTGATTAATAATAAAAATAAAAATTAAAAAACTACTCCCTCTATCCACAAATAAAGTTCTCATTGTGCGTTATGATGTTTGACTGAAGTTATTTTCAAACAATATTATATGAAAAGTGGTGTGGAATTAAAAAATAAAAGTTACATATTCAAAACTACATTAAAAGATTTACAAAACTTGAGATGACATGACTATATTATTTTATCAAATAGGAAACTAAAATAGGCCAACAAAGTGAATAAAGTTTAACTCTATGAATGATGAATGAGAACTTTATTATTACACGGAGGGAATGCAACCTAAAAACTAAGCCTAATTGCTACCAACGAAACCAGAAACCCCAACACCACCCCTATATAATTACGGAGAACTAAGGCCATTTACAATGGAACTCCAAAACCCTTTGCGCCGCAATGGAATCCTCGCCCGCCGCGCCGCGCTACCATTGCAGGACTAGCGGAAAAAATGCCGCAAGGCTTGCCACTATTGCGGAACTCTACCGGTCATAAAACTCGACACTTTTAGACAAGCGGCGGTCCATTGCGAAGATCTGTTGCGCGAGGCTCCAAAATTATTATCTTTTACTTCTCAATTCAATAAAGTTAACATGTCTTCAACTTCAATTCATCCACTTTCATCTTAGTAGCATTTGTTTTTTAATCATTATTTCCCAAGGACATCTTTTATTTTTTAGTTTTTGTAATTTTAATTTTAAGCATGTTAAATTTCCTATTTTATTAATGTAGTATTTTGTAACTTTGATGTTATTTTCGGTTATTTTTAATTTTTTAATTATTACATTCCTTTTTTTAAATTATTCATGTTTTTTAGCTTAAAATAAATATTTGTATTAAATCTGTATAAATTTTGAATTAAAAACGATGAATAATGTAAGAAAACGGAGAGGCAAAATTTTTTGTTGATAACATTGCAGGACTCAAGGCCTAGATGGAAAATTAGTAGAGTGCTGATGTGGCAGGAGTTGGGGCGGGGCGAAAATTGCTCTTATTATAAACGCTCTAATAGAACACGAGGGTTTCAATTAGGGAGTAGTAGCGATACTAGAATAGTTCTCCGCTAGAGAAAAATTGTAACACTCTGATCCACGTAACCTAGTTCACATAGGTTAGCAAGGTGAAGCTAGAAAATTTGTAAAGTAACATCCATAATTTGATGAAAACATTTTAATGATATTAATTCAAATGTTCAAAATGTCAACATCATAAATTGTTTCGGAGTAGGAAAATAAAATAATGTTGCGGAAGCTTAAGGAATCTAAAAAATAGTACACACGTGGGTTCAAGATCCAAATTGTTCAAACTTAATTTAAGGAAAGATAATGAAGTGAAATTCTTCCCACACCATGCCGCCATCTATTCTGCCTCAGCGTCCTTCGGGATTAGCTCCATCATGCTTCTTACCTACGCACAATCACACAACAAAGATAACTGTACGCTCAGCGAAACCGCTCAGTCGTACCACAATGTATATTTTATAGAATTATTCATAACCACAATCAAATAAATCAAGTAGTAAATACGTGAAGTCAACTTTTCCTTTTTATAGTTCTATCATATCCATAATAAAATTTAAATCACATCCTTAATCATTTTTCCATCTTTTAATCATTTTAATCCTCATCATACCATGGAGTCAATCTCTGTAGAGAAATGACTCGATAAGACTTCCCATGTCTAAGTCTGGGTCCGAATGCCCTTTTCTTCAGTTTTGGAATTTTATTCCGTGGCCTTTCCCAGTGTGGGTATAAATACTATTCTGGTTCCAGACATACAGGTTGAGTGATCCCCGGGCACCTTACCGGGTCTAGGACCTTATAAACGTACATACTCAACTTCTAATATCGCCCACATCTAAAAACTTAAATCCATTCAACCACACTAGATCTATTTGAGTTAGTCATCATCGAAACACATCATTTGAGTATTCATATTTATATCATTGTAAATTTGGATTTAAGGTATAGGTAGTCACATCAGTTCAAAACAACATGTTTCGGTGAAGTCACGAAGGTTAAACATGCATCAAAAAGGATTTTGGAACTTAGTTTTGAGTAATT